TACAATTGGCGTTAGCATTAAAATTTTGAATATTTTTAACCTTTTTTGTAAAAAAGGGGTAAAACCATCATCATAAGGGGTGAAATTTGGGGTGCTGCGGCTGAAATCATTTAAAATGGTCTAAATAACAACTCTGGCGAGTTTCATGCTTTTAACCCAATTTGCTACGTTTTACCCTATTTTGAGGGTCTGCCGCATAGACTAATAGCAACTGTTAAAATTGCCTTATATCTATCAAAAATAGTAGATAAAATAGTACTTTAACCGCACGGGTAGATTAAATGATACTTTAACAGCGAGGATAGGTTAAAACTTTATTTCTTCTCCCACGTTTTTTAATTGCCTCCATTTTTGAAAATTTTGGTATTCCTTTCCATAAGTTATTCGGTGTAGTGCGACCTGGTTACCCAACAATTGTTTGTTTAATATTTCATTAATTATTGCAACAACAAAAGCATAGCATACCATCTTTTGTAACTAGGTTAGCTAATTCGAATAAATGTATTCAAAGGGTGAACATGTGTTTGATTTTCCCGTATTGGAATGAGACGACATCACATGGCGATCCTGCCTAAGGGCCTTAATTTAAATAAGTTTAGTTAAACAGTATGGTCAAAAGTGAATGTGAAAAAGTGAAAATAGTGAAACAAAATAAACTAATTTACCATGGGAAAGACAAATTCTAAACATTCGGAACTAACCGATAATGGTGTGGTCAACTCCAACTTCATCGTAGAACAGGAGAGCATACAAGTGCCAACAGATGTTCGAGTACTACTGTACATTGTAGTAGCAGTTGTGGTAATTTTACTTCTACTAAAATTACATAAAGCGTACCGAAGGGGGCTCCGAAAAGACTTATCCAGAAGCATGGTCCTTCGAACCCAAGCAGTAGATGTTTAGTGCGAGCAGTAGTTATTGATGGACAGTTTCCTAGATATGTCAGGCATTACACTCAGGAAGAGTCGGGAAACGTACAGGACCCCCAGCCAGGTCCACTGGGGTCGCTATAAAAATATTCCACATGGACCTATCACTTTCGAACTTTGTTGTAGTCCAAACTAGCATGACAGATAATCGCAAAATTACTTTATTAGTTGATACAGGTGCGGATATATTTTTATTTAAAAATTTTAAAATTTCTCCTAAACAATTTATTAATGAATATAACATAAGCAATATTAAAGGTATTACAGATGTCTCGACGAGTTCTTTAGGCACAACTAACACCCATATTTTTATTAATAATTATGCAATAAATCACTCGTTTCATATAGTTGAGCAAAATTTTCCAATATCAGCTGACGGAATTTTAGGGCGAGACTTTATTTCGAAATATCAATGTCAATTTCAATGTTACGCTAACTGGACATTAACACTACAAATGTTTAACGAAAAAACAACATTGCCAATATTTTCAAGTCCAGAAGAGGAATCTTTGGTAATCCCACCTAGGTGTGAGGTCATTAGGTATATTAAAAAATTCACGCAACTAAAGACTGATTCTGTTATTTTGAATACTGAAATCGCCGACGGAGTTTTTATTGCTGGTTCAATTGTTTCAAAATCAAATCCAATAGTTAGAATTTTAAATACAACATTTGAAAGTGTCACAATAAAAAACGCTGACATACAGTTTTCCAATCTAAATAATTTTTATGTTTACTCAATTAACCCCGAACTAAATAATAGAGAATCAAATTTATTACAACAGTTAAACAAAAACATCCCTGACTTTGCAAAAACGATACTTTTAATTTATGTAAAGAATTTTCAGATATTTTTTGTTTACCATTTGATAAATTAACAAAAACAACTTTTATGAACAAAAACTTAAATTGCTTGATTCTGCCCCGGTTTATATAAAAAATTACCGCACGCCGTACTCACAAACAAATGAAATAAATTGTCAAGTCAACAAATTGCTGGAAAATGAAATAATCGAACCATCAACAGCGGAATATAATAGTCCGATTTTATTAGTACCTAAAAAGTCAACTGATGACCAAAATAAATGGCGATTAGTCATTGACTATAGACAGGTAAACAAGAAACTAATTGCAGATAAGTTTCCTTTACCTAGAATAGATGACATCCTTGATCAACTAGGTAGAGCAAAATATTTCTCAACGTTGGACTTAAAAGCTGGATTCCATCAGATTTCTTTGGAAAAGAACTCCAGGGACATCACGACATTCAGTACAGATAATGGCTCGTATAGATTTACTAGATTACCATTTGGACTAAAGATTAGCCCAAACAGCTTCCAAAGGATGATGTCGATAGCATTTGCTGGAATTACACCGGAAAAAGCATTCTTATACATGGATGATCTAATTGTTATAGGCTGTTCAAAAAATCATCATTTGCAAAATTTGAGGAAGGTTTTCTATACTTGTAGAAAATACAATTTAAAACTTAACCCAGAAAAGTGTAATTTTTTCCAAAAGGAGGTCACATTTTTAGGCCATAAAATAACAAGTCATGGCATTTTGCTGACGATTCAAAGTTTGAAATCATAAACAAATTTCCTACACCGACAAATGCTGACGCGGTAAAACGGTTTGTCGCGTTTTGCAATTATTACCGTCGTTTCATTCCAAACTTTGCTAACATTTGTAAACCGCTTAATAAGCTAACTAGGAAAAATATAATTTTTGTTTGGTCACAAGATTGTCAAAATTCTTTTGAAAAGTTAAAACTGCTCTGGTCCAACCTCAAATATTGCAATACCCAGATTTTAACAAACAGTTTATAGTAACAACAGATGCATCAAAAGATGCGTGTGGAGCTATGTTATCACAAGACTTTAATGGTAAAGACTTACCCATAGCATTTGCATCAAAATCATTCACAAAAGGCGAATCCAATAAGGCAACCATTGAACAAGAATTGCTGGCAATCCACTGGGCAATAAATTATTTTAGACCCTATTTGTATGGTGTAAAATTTTTGGTTAAATCTGATCATAAGCCGATAGTATATTTATTTTCGATGAAAAATCCTTCATCAAAATTAACGCGCATGAGACTCGATTTAGAGGAATATGATTTTGAAGTCGAGTATATTAAAGGGAAAAACAATGTAGGTGCGGACGCACTGTCAAGAATAACAACATCTGATTTAAAAGAAATTTCTAATCAATCGGCTAAAATACTAGCTGTAACAAGATCAATGACTAAAAACAGGAAAATAAAAACTCTGACACATATGACTCTTCGCAAAATAAAATACTTATTCTACCTAAAATTTACGAAACCTTAGACAATAGCAGTATACTTAATTTACCTTTAGTAAGTTTTGAAATTAAGTCATTATATCTTAGGATAATAATGAGATTAAAAGGAAGATTCAGCGCTGAATCAAACATTCCGATCATTAATGGTAATTTTTCTCTAGAGGAAGTATTGCCTAAGTTTGAATCAATGGCTAATGATCATAATATTAAAAGTTTAAAGTTAAAATTAAATGACCAAATTTTTCAAATGTGCACAATAAATGAATTAAAAGACATTGGTCAAGAAAAATTAAAAAAGGTAAACATTTTGTTATTTAAGGAACGCAGGTCGCGCTACATCGGGATTTAAATGGAAGAAGTTTGGATATGGCGTTTGTCGCCTCAGCCTGAATATCAGTTGGTAATTTAATTATTTGGTTTTGAGCCATTTCTGGCTCCAATTCAATCAGCAATCGACACGAAAGAGAATTATAAAATATTGACTCAAAACTGACAACTAAAGAGACAGCTTTATTTATTTATATGTCAAATTACATAGAAACCAACGCCAACCCAGCACAATATTTTTTCTACTCGTAATAAATTCCTTGAAATAATAATTTTTGAATATTTTTTAACGTAACTCGCTATGGAAAAAAATATTGTTTTATACACGACGATAAAATTGCATTATCGTCTCCCGAAATTAATTCACTCGCGATTTCATCGCTCGTGAACCGACGAAATCTTTTTGGTCGAAGATAAAATACCATTTTATTGTCTTGTATAAAAAATAACTAATATTCTTGTATAGTGTTCAGTTTCAGTCTTTATTGACAGACTATTATGTTTAATATTTTTTAAACAAAGGGTTTGTCATTTCCTGTTCTTAAACCTGCTAAAGCCATTTCAAACCTTGAAAAACTTTGAAATTTGAACTTTGTCGATTGTCGTTTGGTAAAATACATAAGTCGCTGCGCTGGCCGTTACATCATCATCCCTGTATCCTATTCCCTGCGTAGAATATCAGTTTTATTACTTTCAATGTGCTAGACAATGTTTCAGTATTAAAACTAAAAGAATTTCAGACTTCCATAGTCCTTATTATTATTTATCATTGTTTCATCTTGTATGTTTTATACCCAAACCAGACCAAACCAACCCAACACTACATTTCGGTCAGAAGTATCACTGACCGTTATCAAGTGTGAACTAAACTAAATCCTACTAAGATTATATGCTCAAACGAACGCTCCGTGAATTAGTTGGATGCAGTCAAGCATGAGGTTGTCCACTAAGAACTTTTTAAGTCTGGGACTACTCTGAGAAGTGTCTTAACAAAAACAAAACCAAAATCATCAAAACAAGAAAAAGAGTGAATCAGTCAGAGGAGAGGCTTCCAAAACAGATCCTCAACTGGACACCAGCGGGACGACGAAAAAGGGGTAGACCACGCAAGAGCTGGAGAGAAGGAATAGACAAGGAGCTAAAAGAACGAGAGCTTGAAGACGACCTCTTGCCAGATAGGGAGCAATGGCGACTGGGCATCGAAAGACGTTGAAGAACGTTTTAAAATCGATTGATATGTATATAGTTTTAGGATTTAGATTAGTTCACCCTTGATAACGGTGAGCTATACTTCTGACTGAAACGTTGTGTAATAAGCCAAATAAATAAAGACAATGGAAGTCCGAAATTCTTTTAGTTGCATCATCCCTATTATTATTGCTTCTCTGGCTGAAGTCATTCAGCCGGAAAAATCAAGTTTAGCACTCAATCTTACCTTTTCATCATCAATTATACTCCTTTCTCCATCTTGATCCGGTTTCGAATCTCTTCGTTGTTTTTCAACTTCTTTTTTCTCGATCTTTTCGTTGGACTGTTGAAGTTTTTCGATCGTTATTAGAGTCGATGCTGTCTCGAAGAGTATCTTTTCGGTGGTTTCCTGTTCGTCCAAACTAAAACAAATATAAATATCTAGGTTATGCACAAGTTTAAGTGGAAATTTTTTAAGCATTTGGAATGGAACGAAAATACTGAAATGGGACACGCCAAGCATATCATGGCGATATTATCCAAACTTAGAGCCAGGGAAGTTACTAAAATGCAGAATGTATGGGAGGGGGGTTAATCACCGCGCGGATGCGGATATGGAGAATGCATTTTTTCCTCTTGTAAAGCCAATCCCGGGACATACTGTATATAAAAGTAGGTGATGAATAATATTACGTGTATTGAAAATTAATTTACTTGTGCTTAAAGTGTAAGTGTATGAGAAAGAGTGCATTAAAATTATAACGTCAAAAATGACGAAAATAAATATAGTTTCTATATTATTTATGTGGCAATATAATAGCAAGGAGGGTCTATGAACATCGCATAGTATAAAAATGCAGGAAAGCTTTACAGGTACATTGAAAAGTCTTAATGTTAAATCAGTCCTTTTGTGCATTTTCAGAACACTAGACCACCCTGTATTTTTTTAATATATAATTACAAATTGGCTCACCCCTATAACTCAAAAGTGGCTCACCCCTATAACTTTTTTATTTTTTCAGATAAAAAAACGACATTGGTATGTTACTATATGATATAAATTAGGATGATGATGATTGTATTCAATTATTTTCGGTCACGTCCTGTTTCACCGGAAATGACGGCAACTTTTGATTTTTAAATGGTACGCTCGGTATCTTTTTACTTTATTCGATAGAAAATGACACTCAGAATCGAATGACATATCGTATACCAACTTTTGACGTATTCGCTCAAAAACAAATTGTATTTTAAATTTCAATCTAGAATGCCATTGCCGTGTTAAAAACACTAATTTTTAATCAAGGAGCCTTGGAAAAATAGATTTGATCGTATAATATTTTTAGGGTCCTGTCCTGGCCGGTTAAAAGATACACAAATCGTATTTTTAATCATATCTCAATTTTTTCAAATGGAACGAGGGTGGCTCATTAGCATATTTGGATTTTTTTACGAATAATTTGATACCACACACTTGGTATTTCGAGTCAAATTGTCGTTATGAATCGCAGGTTACATTTTCAAATAAACCATATGCGAAAATGTCAAAAGTTGACATATGATGTCATTCTATTCAGAGTGTCATTTTCTACCGAATAAAGTAAAAAAATACCGAGGGTACCATAAAAATCAAAAGTTGTAGTCATTTCCGGTGAAACCGGAAGTAACCGGAAACAATTGAATAATATGTCAATCAATCCTAATTTATGTCATATACATACCAAATCTCCTTGTTTTATATGAAAAAATATGAAAGTTATAGGGGTGAGCCACTTTTGAGACGCACCCGGTATATTCCTGAACTAAAAAAATTATCATAGTTTTGTTACAAAACTACTTAAAAAAACTTAAAAAATAAAAATGATTGTAGTGAAAATTTCAAACTATAAATATAATTATAGAGCATTTTCAGAAAGCTAGGCAACCCTGTATTTTTTTTAATAAATATTTACAAATTTATATACCAAATTATATATTCCTGAACTAAAAAAATTATCATAATTCTGTTCTGAAACCACTTAATAAAACTGCAGTTGTAAAAATATAACCGACGTGGAAAATAAAATGTTAGCTACTCTAAATGATACAATAATATTGTAAATTAATTACATGTAAATTAATTACATGTAAATTAATACAATAACGATGGTAAATGTTAAGTGGAATATCGATCTAATGTTTATTTATTAAATTTTATGTTTAATTATTCATGATAGACTCGGTGCAATCAAAGTTTATATCCAGTGGTTGTGTATTCTTCTTCTTCTTTACGTGCCGTCTCTTTCGTGGAGGTTGGCGATCACATTGGCAAAATCATCACGATTCTCGGCTTTCCTTATGAGTTCTTCAAAGGTTAGGTGAGTCCAGTTTCTGATGTTTCTCAACCAAGATAGTTTCTTCCTGCCGAGACCTCTCTCTCCTTCAATCTTACCCTTAGCTATCAATTGTAAGACGTGGTATTTTTCATTTATTAATATATGCCCTAAGTATGATGTTTTCTTTTATTTTTATTATATTGAGCAATTCTCTTTCTCTACCTATTCTGTTGTAGACTTCGGTATTTGTGATATGGGCTGTCCATGGAATTTTAAGCATTCTTCGATATATCCATGTTTCGAACGATTCGAGGCAGTGCCGGACTTAGGCCTAGGCCAACTAGGCCCGGGCCTGGGGTGACAGATTTTTAGGGGCGGCGAATTTTGAGCATGCCAAAATATTTATCTTCTTTTTAAGTTTTATTTGTTCATAAAATATTTAGAATATAGCCTTAGCCGATTACATATTTATTTACTTAACTATTATTATTGTTTAAATATATAATTCGCTTGGGTTATTTTTTACTGCATTGTGCCATGCGTCCAGTTAATAAATACATAAATACCTCAAATATAAAAAAATAAATTCAAAAACATTAAGAAATGTATTAAAAACACGTTGGTCTGCAGAAAATGAAGCTTGCCAATCACTATCTTTGTCTTCCAATGAAATAAAATCCACGTTGGAGTCAATTTCTGAAGATGATACCGAAAAGTCCAAAACCCGATTAGATGCTTCTAGTCTCCTTAAACAATTCAAAAGCCTAGAAATGGGTTTTATGGCGGTATTTTGGACAGACGTTTTAAATAGATTAGATGCGGTCAATAAAAAGCTTTAAATGGTGGATATTGATCTTGCTGCAGATTTATATAGCTCATTGGAAAAATATTTTTCTGAAATTAGAAATCTAGATAATACTAAATCATTTGAGGAATATGAAAGAAGGGCCATAGAATTGTTTGGTGAGAAAGAATATGCGGCAGATAAAAAGAGAAAAGTGAAACGGAAACGACAATTTGATGAAACCAGTGATAATGAAACTCTATTTAACGCTAGGGACGATTTTAGGATAAATGTATTTAATGTTATTATTGATAAATTAATTCTTGAAATTTCCTATACAGGAAAAGTGCCTACAATGACTTTTCAACCAAATTCGGTTTCTTTAGTGATTTATCTACTTTAAGTATTGACGACATTACCGATAAGTCCAGACATTTAATAACCTGATATCCAAATGATTTAGATGAGTCAATGCCTAATGAATTAATACATTTTCGTGAATTTTTAAAAGCATTAAGTCAGCAAAACTATCTGCTAGAGAGCTTCTTAAAGTAATTTATGAAAAAAACGCTCAAGACGTGTTTCCAAATACTTTCACAGCATTAAGAATCTTCACATGTACCTTTATTACTAACTGTTCTGCTGAACGCTCGTTTTCTGCATTGAAACGTATTAGAACTTATTGACGGTCCACTATGGAAACAGAGCGTCTAAATCATTTGGCAGTTTTACATATTGAGTCCTTTTTAAACTTTTAAAACCTTTTAAAAACTATCTATTACAATGAAGTAATTGATAATTTTGCGAACAAAAAAGTACGTAGGAAACCTTCGTAGGCATGCATATAAGCAAACCTTATAGTTTTGTTGTTCGTTTGTTGTCATTTTATATGAATATTTTAATATTTATTTTATTCTGTGTTGATGTGTTCTGTCGGTCTATTCTGTTATTGGTCCTGTATTCAAATAAATGTTTTTTATACCCGTAATTTTTTTAATTAAAGAAAATGTTAAGTGGCGGCAATTTTTTTTTGGCCTGGGGCGGCAACTTCGTCAAATCCGGCCCTGATTCGAGGCGATTAATCTCTTGAACTTTCAGTATCCATGTTTCTGCTCCGTATAATAGGATTGACCAAACATAACACTTAACGAGCCTAGTTCTTAACTCAAGGTCCAATCTGGGGTTCTGGAAGACGTATTTCATTTTTAAATGTGTATTAGTCTGAGGTTGTGTATTAGTCTGAGTCAAAATAACTAACCTATGGAATTTCTGAGTTAAAATGAACCTGATAACCGAGAAAAAAATATCCCCGGAAGGCAGGATTTTTAGCTCAATTTTAAAAGGTGTCGGTGAATGTTCACCCATTCAAAGTTTTCCATTTAAATAACACGCAAAAAAAATTCCATTAAAAGTACCATAACTTTGAAACGGTTTACGATAAAAAAAATTACATCGCGGATTCTTGTAGAGCATAAAATTTACTAAAAAAATCTCTGAGTAATTTTTTTCAATTGAATAATTCGTATATTTGAAAGCTTTGGAAGGCGAAAAAAATCAAAATATGCAGTTTTAGTGTTTATTGATTAAATTTTTTCATATTTAGCAAATAAAAACTAGATTTAAATAAAATAGAATAATATTGTTAAAAAATATTGTTTACAATGTAGATTTGTCAAAAAAATAGTTCTAATATTCATTAATTAACTAGATCTATAAAACGCCAAATTGTGCGAATTTTTATGTGTATAATCCAGAGGTCAACAAGTTTTATATAAATTTTTGGCTGTACTTAAACTGCCGTTAAACGGTAGCTTACTAAAATGCCGTTAATAGGTATGACGTCGTTGATAGAACGCACTTGACCATAGATAAAAGAAAATAATCTACTATTAAGATAGATATGAAACTTAATAGTAAAATTTTGGGTCAAAGCGCCCCTCCGTGTTTTTAGTGGAGACTACGTTTAACCCAGCGCCTTCGCCTTTTCTGCTGTAAATGTTTTTTATGTTTATATTTGAATTCAAAGGATTTATTTTTAAAGTTACACTGATATATTAGTATATCAGAGTAACTTTAATAAAACATAAGAATATATATTTTACAATTTATTTGTTTATTTATTTTACAGAGTTTCATGTAAATGATCGTAATAGACCGAGATTTATAGATTTTAAAGCGAACGAAAAAAAAAATCAAACAACGAATACATACCATATATTTTTCTTTTATCGAAGATACCTTATCGTCTTTTGGAAACACGTACATTTTTGCAGTTTTGTTAGTTTCTTTGCAAAATGCAACACAACAAGAAAACACCATTTTT